GCCGGAAATATCCCATGGACAGAGGAGCCTCACAGGCTACAGTCCATGGGGTCACAAAGAGTCAGACATGACTGGGCAACTGAGCACACACACAAAAAACATGAACCATCAAGAAAATGGTACATTTTACTACAGTAAAATTAAGACATTCTGTTCATCAGAAGACATCATGAAGAAAGTGCAAAGGGGGGCTTCCTTGGTGGCTCAGTGGTAAAGAATCTGCCTGCAATGCAGGTGACTTGGGTTTGATCCCTGGGTTGGGAAGAGCCCCTGGAGAAGGGAAAGGTTATCCACTCTAGTATCCTGGTCTGGAGAATCTCACAAATAAATCACTATTTACCCACTCCAGTATTCTGGCCTGGAGAATTCCATGGACTGTATAGTCCAAGTGGTCACCAAGAGTCGGACATGACTGAGTGCCTTTCACTTCACTTCATCCACTATTTATCCATGGAGGATCCCATGGATAAATCACTAAGATAAAGATAAGCAATCCATAGAAAAATGGGAAGATTGATGTGAGCAGGCATCTCATTGAAGAGGAAACACAATGGCAGAGCTGAAAATGTATATACAGTAAGAACTTCCTGTAATTGCATTAACAAAGCACAATAAACTGAAGTGTTAGTTGCTCAGTCGTGTCCAACTCTTTGCAACTCCATGGACTATAGACTGCCAGGCTCCTCCGTCCATGGAATTCTCTAGGCCAGAATACTGGAGTGGGTTGCCATTCCCTTCTGCAGGGCATCTTCCCAACCCAGGGACTGAACCCGGGTCTCCCACACTGCAGGCAGATTCTTCACTGTTTGTGCCATCACGGAAGCCTGGACATGAATTTGGGGGGACACTATTCAACCCAGTAAATGCTAAGTTGCTTCAGTCGCACCAGACTCTTTGCAACCCTATGGATTGTAGCCTGCCAGGCTTCGTCTGTTCATGGGATTCTCCAGACAAGAAAACTGGAGTGGGTTGCCATTTCCTTTTCCAGGGGATCTTCCGGACCTAGGGATTGAACTTGTGTCTCTTACGTCTCCTGCATTGGCAGGTGGGTTCTTTACCACTAGCACCACCTGGGAAGCCCGTTCAACCCAGTGTATATACTCTATGACCTGAGATACACACACACACACACACACACACACACACACACACACACACACACACACACACACACACACACACACACACACACACACACACACACACACCCCTATGGAAATACACATACATGTGTGCCATTAGGCAAATATATGTTTGCAGCACCACTAGTTGTGCTAGCTAAAGTGGAAAAACACTCAAATATCCCTCAATAGAAGGGCTCAATGACTGGCAGAATATCTGTCCAGAGGAACAGCAGTCATGTGGCTATTATGCATTGACTCACATTAACCTCCCAATTTTGAGCACAGAATCTAGACACAAATATAATACTGAATAATTCCATTTATACAAAGTCCCAATGCAGACAAAACAAAACCATTGTATTGAGAGATGCCTGCTTATCTGGCTCAATGGTCAGGATGTTTGTCCAAGCTCATATATTGAAACCTAATGCCCTAATGGTATTTATTAGGAGGTGGGGCCTGGGAGAGGTGCTCAGGTCATGAGCTCATCAGGGTGAAGTCCTCAAGATGGGATGAGTGTCCTCATCAAAGTGTCCTCATCCAGTTTCTTCAGTCCTCCTACCCAGTGAGGATACAATGAGAAGTCTGCAGCCTGGGAAGAAGACCCTCCCCCATGCTGATGGTACCTTGATCTCTGATGGCAAGCCTTGGTGAGCAATAAACTTCTGCTGTTTGTAAGTGCCACCATCTGTGACACTTTGTCCCAGCACCCCAAATGGGCTGATACAATTGGTAAAGTTATGAAAAGCCAAGAGATTACCCCCAAAATCAGGTGAGTGCTCACTGGTGGAAGGGAGAAGGAAGTGATGGGAAGGGGATGAGGATGTAGACATTTCAATTCTTGACTTGGGCAATGCCAAGGCAAAATTTGCTTTGCTAAGTCATTGTGCTGGACATCTGGATTTCGCAACTTTTCTTTATCAGTCACACAAGGAGTGTGTGGGGGAAGGCAAGCCTGGGAGGGCTGTGTGATGCCTGGGTGAGAGGGCTCAGAGTGTGGACTCCACTTTGGGGAGCACTCCAGGGACGTGGGCTGCAGGGGTGAGGCGGTGACCCCCTTCACCTCTATCACAGCAGGCACAGCATGGAGCTCAGGGTTTTGCAAGCAACGTTCCATTGCTGAGTCACTTGCCGTGAGGGTGCTGAAAGATTCCCACAGGGGGCCTGTGGGTTTCCTGATACCCGGACTCTGCCTCTTGCAGTGTGTCTCCTGGCTGGCAATGGGCAAGGAAGAGTGCTCCTAAAGGGAAGGTGACGGAATCATTGTGAACAAGAGGGCCATTGACCATGGCCCCAGAGACATCTTGCGTCTGTAGGTCATTAAGAGCCTCCTGGCAAACCAAGGGACAGTAAGAAGCACCAGCATCTGCCAAAGGAAGAGGAAAAGCAGGCATTGGTTTTACTCCATGAGGATGCTCCAATGCTCCCCATGTCATCTGTGTGGGTCTATGAGCAGGATGATGCCATTTTGTCAAGCTCAAGTATCAGCAGACTGAGCACAAGACTGTTTAGGGGGGCATCCTGAAGTGGTCAGCCTCTAAGAGAAAAAGGAATAATAAATAGAAAGTTTAGGCTAGCAATTACTTCCTGGGGGAAGGGAGGGGCAGGAGAAAGGGATTCGGGGAGAAAGATTCTTGCCCAGGACCTGGAAGCACTCTGTGAAGTCTTGGACGGGTGAAGGGGGCTCCTTTTATTGTCTATTTCACATGCAATAATGTGATGTGTGTAATGTAAATGTGATGCGTGTCTACGCAACATAGGTAATCCACACAGCACACAGATATTACACTGATTTTGGGATGTGTCCAATATTGTATTAAAAGAAGACACAGGGATGGTGAGGGCCCAGGTGGGTTTTCATGAATAAATGCTTTCACCCCCAAAAAGGAAGCCACAGACAGAAGGTACTCATGGGTTCTGTCAATATGTATTGAAGGACTCAGCTTAGATGTCACCTTGCGTTCGAAGCAGACTCAGGTGGGCGCCCCTCTGTGCACCTCCCTCCCAGCCCTGTGTGTCTCCCTTTTGAACATCCATCACCCTGGGCTGGGACCCCTGATGTCACGTCTCCTGCAGATCAGATTGGGAACTTGAAGGGCAGAGTCTAAGTCCGACTCAGTGCCCGGCCCATAGCCACTGCTTCCAGAGGATTACCACTCCAGGGACCTGTGGGAACTGAGCAAAGAAGAAACGCATCTGTGGGCCTCTGTAATGACAGGAAGCAGGAGACTGCTGGCCATCAAGGCCACACCTTGGAGAAAATCTTTCCCTTGAAACTTGGACTTCAGTGATGCTGTGATGCCCTGTTGGGGGGAGGGCATCCCTGTTTTTTTTTCCCTTGGGGCACCAGGCTGAGTAGGATTGACAGACCAGGGGAATGCAATTGAGCCCCCAGGCAGACAGCAAGAGCAAGGATGGGGGAGGACTCGAGCACGTGGACTCTGGTCTCTCCCTTCCCCATCCGCTGGCTACCCTGGCTCCAATCTCTCGCTTCAGATGCTCCCAGGGCCCCTGCCACCATGCCACCTGCTTGAACATCAGCCCCACATTAATGCTGAGGCAGCGGCCTCTGCAGTCTCTCTGGCTTTTTCCTCTGCCTCTATCAACTGGTCCAGCCCCATCACCTTCCTCCCAGACAAGGGCAGCAGCCTCTTGCTGGTCTCTGCTGCCACTCTCCCCACCTCATCTGTTCTGCTCCCATAGCCAGATTAGCCCTTTTAAACACAACTGAGATCACGGCCCTAAGCTTTCCAACCTCTCCCGGGCTTCTGGGGACACAGCAAGCTCCAGCACAAGGCTCTCCCTGCAGCTGACTCAGACATTACCACTGAGGGGCCCCACAAACAACCCAAACTTAACTGTCCTCAACTGACCTTGTCTCCCAGTCCCCAACTCAGACAGATCCAAGAGCCACCTCCAGTCTCTGTCTTCCTCAACAATGGCAAGCCCACCTCATTTCTTCAGTTCAACTGCCACTGTCGTAGTTGAACCCACATTTGTGACAACCATGATTACAATCTCCTAAGCAGTTGATGAGTAGAGGTGATCAGTGGTCTGTCAGGTCTGTGGGGTTGGGGGGTAGGGAGTCATATAGATTGAATTATGCCAAGGAGATGGTACTTGAGGGGCAGAGATGGCAGCAGCAGTGGCTGGACAGTGTCCCGATGTCCAGCCCCAAATACCCACATCTTTGTAACCACAAACAGTGCTGCAAAAGCTCTCCTTGTGTGCGGTTGGCTGAGTATTTCTATTGAAAGTGAAAGTGAAGTCACTCAGTCGTGTCTGACTCTTTGTGATCCCATGGACTGTAGCCTGCAAGGCTCCTTTGTCCATGGGATTTTCCAGGCAAGAACACACACTGGAGTGGGTTGCCATTTCCTTCTCCAGGGGATCTTCCCAACCCAGGGATCAAACCCAGGTCTCCCGCACTGCAGGCAGACTCTTCACCATCTGAGCCACCAGGGAAGCCCAATTCTATTGAATGGATCCCTAAGAGGGAAATCACTTAGTTAAAGGTCATACAGGTTTCAGTTTGTTAGATGCTACCAAATTATCCTCTAAAAACAGTTCAACCAGTTGATATTTTCACCACCATGTAGTCGAGACTATTTCCCAACATCCTTGCTGGCAATGGGCATGATCAAACTTTCATCTCCCCATATTTTTTATTGTGAAAAATTGCAAACATCTAGTGTTTTAGTCTCCCAGGGCTGCTATAGGAGATTACCAAAAACAAAAAAAAANTGCTATAGGAGATTACCAAAAAAAAAAAAAAAAAAAAAAAAAGAGAGAGATTACTACAAACGGGCAGGCTTCAACCAACAGAAATTTATTCTCTCCCAGTTCTGGAGGCTAGAAGTCCAAAGTCAAGGTGTCAACAGGGCTGTGTTCCCTCTGAAAGCTCTAGGGAAGAATCTCTCCTTGTTTCTTTCAGTTTCTGGTGGTTCCAGGAGCTCCTCAGTTTGTGGCTGCAAAACTCTGTCTCTACCATCGATTGGCCTTCCCTGTGTGTCTGTGTCTAAATTTCTCTCTTCTTAGGAGGATACTTGTCATGGATTTAGGGCCCGCCCTACTCCAGCATGACCTTATTTGGATCACATCTGCAAAGATATAATTTCCAAATGAAGTGACATTTACAAGCTTTGGATAGACATGAATTTTAGAGGGATACTCTTCAACTCAGTACATGTATCAATGTTAAAAAAAAAAAACAACAAACAGCACCCATTTACTCACCCACTAGATTCCAATGGTCGTCAATATGAGAAATGAAAAATGGCACAGACAGGGACTTCCTCAGTGGTCCAGTGGTTAAGACTCCATGCTTCCAATGCAGGGGACTTGGGTTTGATCCCTGGTTGGGGAACTAATATGCCACTTGCTGCGTGTTATGGCAAAAAAAAGAGGCATATAGCTAAAAAACATGACATTATGATTCCACTTTTTTGACTTAGTATGAATAGATTGCTAGATTTCTTTTTTTTTATTTCTAGATTCTAATTAAAAAAACAGATGTGCAACAAGCAACAAAGGTTTACTGTATACCGTAGGTAACTATAGTCAATAGTTTGTCAATATCTCTAATGGAATACCTATAATATAAAATTATCTGAAATATCTATAATGGAAAATAACCTAACAATAATAGATATGTCTATTATAAAAGTAACATATGTGTATAAGAATCACGGAGTTGTGCACCTGAAACATTGTAAGTGTTTTGTACCTGCTTTTGTAAGCACACACAAAATATTAAGAGAAAAAAAAGAGGCACAGAGAAAGATGAAAGTCTCCCAATTCATTTGAGGTGATGTCCCACATCTTCTGGCTCTAGCTTTCTCTTGAAGGCAAACTTTGAGAAAGGAACAATCGACGCTGTGTCTCCACTTCCTCACAATGGCATCGCTCTTACCAAACTGGTGTTCCGAAGTACAAGAAAGTTTTCTGTCCTCATCTTACCTGCTTCCTGGCAGCAGTCGAGACTGACTGTTATTCATGGCATCCTTGAAACTTCCCAGGGTTTTCCCCCTCCTCCTTGATGCTACTCTCCGATCTTTCTTCTGGATCGTCCTCCCTGCCCCTAGTAAGTGCTGGTGTTTCTCTGGACACTCTCCTGGGCGTCCTGTTCTCTCCTTACCTGTATAACGGAGGGTCCAACTGCGGGAAAAAGAAAGCACTCTTGCTATTCTAAGCATTCAGTTCAGTCGCTCAGTCGGTCCGACTCTTCGCGACCCCACGGACTGCAGCACGCCAGGCCTCCCTGTCCATCACCAACTCCCGGAGTTTACTCAAATTCATGTCCATCGAGTCGGTGATGCCATCCAACCATCTCATCCTCTGTCATCCCCTTCTCCTCCCGCCTTCAATCTTTCCCAGCATCAGGGTCTTTTCCAAAGGAATCAGTTCTTCGCATCAGGTGGCCAAATAACTGACTCATTGGAAAAGACCCTGACGCTGAAGTTTTAAAACAGGGAGAAGTTAGCCGTGAGTGCGGGGACTAGCAGAGTCCCACCCCGCCCAGTACCTTCAGCTGGGTCGCAGCCGCCTGCATCCGCAGATTGGCAGGCGGGCTGTGGGAACCAGAGGAGCGCTGCCCCGCCCCCTTAACTATTTGGAGCGTGCGCGCCCGGAGACCCGTAGAGCCAATCAGCGAAAAGGAGAGGCTGTGAGTGACAGCCACATCGTTCAATCACCTGAGAGCCTGGAGAGCCGTCTTGCACCCAGACCAATGGCAGCTCAAGGCGGACTTCGGGCGGGGGCGACAGTCACCTGATCCGCGGCGGCCGCGGTAGGTCCTGGCAGTGGAGGCCGAGAGGTTATGATGGCGGCGACAGCGGCGACTCGGGTGCGAGCGGGGACGCGGCGGGCCCCAGCGCTCTGCCAGATGCCATGGCTGCCGCTGATGCTGGTGGCGGCGGCGGCAGCGTCGTCGGAGCAGCAGGTGCCGCTGGTGCTGTGGTCGAGTGACCGGTGAGTGGGGCGGGCTGCGCTGTGCGCCGCGGCGGTTGAGGTGCCCTCGCTCGACTCCGGGGCTGTCCTTGGCGGGGGGCGGCGAGGCCCAGGGGGGCTGTCCCTTGTTCGGTGGCCTGTAGCAAGGGCGCTGGCTCTGGGCCCCAGGCATCAAGCTGGGAGCCCACGGGCTTCGGATCTCAAGCCCCCACTTGACAGCACCTCTCTATCCCCTGCCAGAGGCCTGTGGGCTCCTGCGGCCGACACCCACGAGGGCCATATCACCAGCGACATGCAGCTCTCCACCTACTTAGACCCCGCCCTGGAGCTGGGACCCCGAAATGTGCTGCTGTTCCTGCAGGACAAGGTGCGCCTCCCCCAGCCCCCTCTCCCTTCCTCATTCAGGAGACAGCCCCTCTGCCCCAGGACACTGAGGCCCATTCCCCGAGGGAAGCTGCAGTGACCTTGTCCAAACTGCAGGGAGGTGTGGTTCCTTCCTTGGGAAGGCCTGCGGAAGAACGTTCAGAGGGAATGGTGCGTGCCTGCTAAGTCACTTCAGTCGTGTCTGTCCTACTCTTTGGGACTCTATGGGCTAATAGCCCACCAGGCTCCTCTGTCCATGGGATTGTCTAGGCAAGAATACTGGAGAGTGGGTTGCCATGCCCTCCTCCAGGGCATCTTCCCAACCCAGGAATCGATCCTGGGTCTCCTGCATTGGCAGGCAGATTCTTTACAGTCTGAGCCACCAGGGATGCCCCTAGTCAAGAACAGTGGAGTGGGTTGTCATGCCCTCCTCCAAAGGATCTTCCCCACCCAGGGATCAAACCCACATCTCTCTATGTCTCCTGCACTGGCTGGCGGGGTTGTTGTTTTGTTTTTTTTTTAAACACTAGCGCCACTTGGGAAGCTGAACAGCTAGCAAAGGATGGTTTCCATCCATCTACCTCTGGGTTATGGGCACAACACGCTTCCACTGAGCCACTCTGCCAAGCATGGGAATAGTGAGGGCCCAGAAATGGCACCCACTTGATTGGGGGAAATAAGGGGTCAGAGGCCAGATGCTGATTGAGTGCCAAACCCTTGCCTGACTTACTACATGGCAGAGATGATGAACCCTTTTTACAGATGAAAAGCCCAAGGATGGTAAGTGACTTGCCCAAGGTCACATAGCTAATGGGTGGCAGAGTTGTGATTCTGACTGTAATGATTGTAAGACAGAGAATGGAGGAATGATAGATCACTTACTGAGTGCTTCATTCATACTAGCTGAGCTGATGTCATTATCTTGGTTTTACTGCCTAAGGAGCTAAGGGTTGTAGGATCAGCTGAAGTTCATGGCTTGTGCAAGCCCCAGGTTATTCCAGCTTGAGTCTGTTGGACACCCCTCCCCCACTGTGATTTTGTGCTTATACCCAGCACACTGTTTACCCTCCCATCTGGGCATTTCTGCCCCTAAAGCAGGTATGCAGACCACAGGAAGATTCTAGGGCAGTGTAGGATTAGTGTTTGCGAGATTATTGAGCTTCTGCTTGTCTGTTCCTCATTGGTGGCCCGTTTGGCTCATTCCCTTTGTGATCTTGCTTTGTGGGCAGGGGGTGGTAGCTGTGCTGGCTTGTAGTCCTTCCAGGAGATGGTGAATAACATAGTCAGACTGGAACTCAGTTCTAGTTCTACTGCTTACTGGACATGTGAAATACTCTGCAAATGCCAGTTTCCACATCTGTAAAAAGACACCACTGACATCAGAGGGCGAGGAGCAATTCTGATAGTCCATGTAAAATATCTGGCTGGTGCCCCCCCACCGCCATCTGATGGTATTCATTCATTTGTCAAATATAGACTACCTACTCTGTGCCAGGTATTGATTAAGTGCTGGGGACATAGAAATAAGCAGAATCACCCAAGCCCCTACTCCAAAGAAGCTAACACTCTTGTGAGGGTGAGAGGTTTACGTAGATGCTAAGTTGGTATGACATAAGGTCAGCACTTAGATAAGAAGGAAGCAGACTCAGAGAATAGAGTGACTGGCAATGCTGTGTAAGATAAAGAGGGAGTAGGCAAGTGCTCACTGAGGAGGTGGTATTGAAGCAGAGATCTAAGCGGAGGTAGAGATGGAGCCATGTGGCTGCGGGAGGAAGGTATGCATTCCTGGCAGAGGTAACAGCAGGTGCAAAGGGCCTGGGTGAGGAATACTCCTGGTGAACCTGTGGAAGAGCTGGTGTGGCTGGAGTACAGTGAGAGAGAGAAAGGCGTAGGAGATGGTCAGTTGAGGAGCCTGGAGATGACGCGGAAAGGGGTTGGTCGCAGTTATAAAATGTGTCAGGAAGCCTTGGGTGATTTCAAACGGAGTGTACACAGGCTTTCGGAATGATAGCCTCGGCGCCAGAGAGGCTCAGGATTCCTGCCCAGAAGGGCAAGGAGGCTGGGCAGGTGTGTATACTAAACACGATGACATCAGGGAAGCTGATTAAAATCACCTCTGGGCCTCCCTGGGAAAAGCCAGAGGAAGCTGGGAGTTGGGGCAGAAAGCAGAAGTTGAAGGACATCCCTAAGTTGTGGAGATTAGAAGGATGGGGGTCAGGGTGATTGTGGTCCAGAGTGCTCAGAAGCCTTCAGTGGTCGGTCCAGTGTGTTCTGAGATCTTCACCTCTGTCCCCTTCCACCAAAACCAGGGCAGGGAGGAGGGACTTCTCACCCTCCTTTGCAAAGGGTCCTGTGCACACTGGACAGAGGCGGCTCCAGCTGTTGCAGCTGGCATGTAGGTTCTCTTTCTGGGCCTTCCGCCCCGGGGGCACGCAGTCAGTGTTCTTGGCTTCCCCCAGCCCCCTCCCCGCAGCTTCCCTCTTCTGTCGCAGTTCCTCTTATCTCCAGGCAGGCTGCTGACTCTTACTCCTGAGGTTATCACGAGCCAGCTGCCCACACATTTCTCTCAACCCCATGACCGCCTTCCTTGTCTTCTCACCCTGCTGAGAGTGTTACTGGTGTAAAGAAATAGAACCTTCCACGCCCCTGCCCCTAAAACACACCCTCATGCCCCAGATCAAACCTGCTTCTAAATGAGATGTTGCTGGCCCTGCAAAAATGCCCAGGGCCAGTGTCTTCCCCCTGCCCTGGCCCCACATCCATCCAACCTTCTGAGGCTGTTTCCCTCCCTTCTACTAGCTGAGCATTGAGGACTTCACAGCATATGGTGGCGTGTTTGGAAACAAGCAAGACAGCGCCTTTTCTAACCTGGAGGTAAGAGTCCACACTCAGCCGGTGACCCTGGAGGCTACTCTGTGCCCCCCTCCACCAGCATAATAGGAACTGTCCCCTCAGTAACCAGAGACGTTGGCTCGACAGGGAAAGGTTGAGTGTCAGGTCCAGGGGTGTGGCGTGTTTTGTTTCTTACCTGGAGTGAGACCTGGCGTAGGTTTGGCTTGCCACCAAGGTCTGGGTGGCTGGCCCTGGTCCCGTGGCCCCTTGCTAACTCATCTGCCCATTTCTCACCTGTCCCCAGAATGCCCTGGACCTGGCCCCCTCCTCTCTGGTGCTTCCTGCCGTTGACTGGTATGCAATCAGCACTCTGACCACTTACCTGCAGGAGAAGCTCGGGGCCAGCCCCCTGCATGTGGACTTGGCCACTCTCCGGGAACTGAAGCTCAACGCCAGCATCCCGGCCTTGCTGCTCATCCGCCTGCCCTACACAGCCAGGTATGGCTGGGCCTCTAGCCTCAGGTCCCAAGCTCTGGGGGCGCCGTTCTGTCCAGGCGAGCCGTCCTCCACTTAGCACCCTGAGGCCCTCCCAGAGGGCGTCTGTCTGGACAGAAGAGGCAGGAAGGCCCTCCAGCCGGGTTGGGACTTGGGAGTCAGTGCCCAACATTGAGCTAGGCCTCTAGGGCCTCCTGAGATGAGCCAGGCGTGGGCTTCGCTAGCGGGGAACCAGCCTGCCTAGCGGAGACTGTTCATGGAAAGGTGGCAGGGAAGTGATCGGGACTCCGGAGCTGGGGGAGAAGGTGCAGGGGATTCCAGGCAGGGCCACGAGGTGAGCAGAGGTCCCGGGAGGGGGGACTGGTGGTGTTGAGTGTGGCTCTTGGAGGCCCAGTTCGAGTGTGCTAGGTGGCAGGGCTATACCAGGGAATGACAGGGCCTGGAGGGGCTTCAGGAGGCAGCCCAACGGGTGGCAGAGAGCCATCAGGATTTGGGCGGCTTGAACTTTTTGTCTCTTCCCTAGCTCGGGTCTGATGGCACCGAAGGAAGTCCTCACGGGCAATGGTGAGCAGGGTCGGGGAAGGTGCAGTTTCCATTTTTATCCAGCCCTTGGCCATACGGAGCTGGCCTGGGTTCCTCAGCCCCTTGGTGCTCCCAGGGGGCCCGGCTGCTTCTCCGAGCCCCTGGCAGCTGGGCAAGGTCCCCAGGCCTCGGCCCAAGTGTTGGATGCCCAGGGGCCTCCTCCACACAGCCTGGAGTCAGCTTCCACCCAGGCAGCTTGCACCCTAAGGTCTGGGGGTTTAACACTCCAGCACTGTTTCAAACACCTGTTCTGAGAACTTGTCTCCCTTGTGCTAGAGAGGACAGTTCTTCCTCCCAGAAAGGTCACCAGAAACTGGCCATGGTGGATTTGGCATTTTTGGTAGCAGTCTGTCTTTTTTCTCTCCACC